TTACTTCTCTATTCAGTTCAGAATGGAGTAAAAAGATTCAATAATAGTATGGTAGGGTGATGGGAGCATGGCAGGGACAGGGGGTTAGAGAAGGCTGAAAGGCCTGTGTCAGAGGCCAGAATTTCAAGTGTTGCCCTTGGCTGATTTCCAAGGGGACATCAGATTTCAGGTGTTTTGGATCAGCCACATGGAAGGTGCCAGATATGCAGTGAAGGGTAGGAAGGGTTTACTAGGGGTAATTGGAAAAAGCAGGGGTAGGTGTGGTTAAAAAAATAGGAATGGAAAAATGAGGTATGTCAAATAGACTTAGCAGGGCAACACTGCAAAGAGATGAGGGGCAGTGAAAAGGACAAAAAGCCTGACTCTAAAGCCCCAATTCAAAGAGACTGGTCTACCACCTATTAGCACACTGTGTGTGGCACATAGAACTTGCTTAGTAATTGCTTGCTGAATGAACGAACAAATGTGACCTTGGCCAAGTTACATATCCTCTCTGAGCCTTAGCTTCCTCATCTGTAAAATAAGTAGTAGTTATTGTTCTTTTATTTCACCTATGTTGTCTCTCCCCTACATCCACATCAGTTGGCTGATCCATCTTCCCAACCCTGCACTGTAGAGGATGCTAACTAAGCCTCCTTCATTAAGGGTCAGAAAAGGCAGATGTGCACAAGGCCTTCTCTTTCTTCTTGTGTCTTCCCCTTCCTTCTCCTCCTCCTTACCTCCTGGCCCTATTTGTCTTCTTTTCTATTCCAGGAAAACTTGGGGCACAGTCTGGGAACTCAGAGCAAGTGAGTTATAACCTCCAGTTACAATGCCAGCACATACTCACACATGTGCAACTCCCTCTCCCTCTGTACTCCTCCACAGAAGGTTGGGTCTGGGCTGCAATAAGAAGCTTGTGGCTCCCTAGGGACCTTTACTTGATTCAAATGTTATCCATACCAGGGACTAGAAAACTCTACCCTTGTTTCCTCATGTAGAGCCAGGTGGGCTTGGGGAGCTAGCTACCCATGGGGATTGATCACATCAGCACTAGTCCAACTCTATAAAGTTCATTGTGAGCCAATTCCTCTGGAGTACATCAACCAGAGGAAAGTCAAACAAGTTTGAGAACATGAAGATGGTGCGAGGATAATTTTACAGTAGTGGGCATGAGCTAGGCTGAGCGATCCACACTTCCTTGTGAACACTGACACATATCTTTGAGATTCACTGGCATGAGAAGAGCAATTTGTTAGAGCAAAACATAGCTTTTTCCTGTATGAAGCTAACAGCTTGAATTGACTCTCCAAGGTTTTATTTTTGTCTGTTTTTTCCCTCTTGGAAAGACTAATGGACAGTAAAGATGGGATAAGGTGAATTCTAAATTTGCCTGTCCCTCCAGTCAACTTGTGGCATATAGAATACATCTCTATAAGATGAGCCTTCCCAAGTTTGATCTTCAGTAGGCTAAATATCCCATCTTTTGTGCTTCCAAGGGATGTGGTGAGAAAGAGAAAAAACCCCAAGCTCAAAGGCTGGACAAATTCAATGAGACATGCTGGCTAAACTCCCTCCCATAGAGTGGAGCTTAATCCATCCACTCCATCATTGCCATCTCATCTTCCCAAATCAATGCATGCTTCCCTGCTCCTTTGTTTTTAATATGGGGGAAGGAGGGCAAGAGACACAGTGAGAAATGGCCAGCCTTGATGAGGTTTTTATATGCAAGAACAAATGACAGTCATGTAGGCAGGTTCAGGAAAATCTTTCAGAATGTAGAAAATTCAGCAGCTTTTCCACACTGACCATTGTCATGGCAACACACTCACTATCTGATGGCAGCATGCGTGTGGAGGGGCACGGTCTGAGTATAGCAGGTTAGCCTGGCCATTTTTAGCAACATTTAGACTTCTTTCTAGCCTCATTTCTTCTAGGTTTAGCTGAATTTCTTTTTGGTCCTGGACTTGTGTGCTCTGCTCATTTGCATGGCTAGAACACAAGATTTTGTCAATATGAAAGAGATAGCTAAATGGAAAATCTGAGCATTCCTAGTATTCTATAGCCACTCTACTTGCTGTCCTCCCTCCCTGGCTCTTCCCCACCCACTCTCAGCCATTTAATTTATTTTCTTCTCATCAATTCTTTCCTGTACACAGTATTACTTCCCCCTTCAACAACTATGACTCATCTACCAACCCCTGCACTCTCATCATATTCTTTTTGTTGTGTTTCTATTTTCTCATTTTTAACATACAGCATCCTAGGATCTTAAGAATGGAAGAAACCTTAACAATAATCCAGTATAATCAATGCAGGAGCCCTTGTATTATATGACAACCAAGTGACTGTCTAGTCTCTACTTGTATGTCTCTGCCAACAGAGACCTCATTCCTTTTTGGATGGCCTGCTCCACTTTGGACACCGCTAAATGTTAGAAAATTCTTCCTTCTATTGAATAAGAATTTACCTTTTTATAATATCTACCCATGGGCCCTAGCTCTGTGCTCTGTGACTACATAACCTCTGCCTATGCCCTCTGCACTGTGACAGCCTTTCAGAGATATGAGGTAAAGACCACATCCCCCTGGGTCTTCTTTTTTCCAAAAGCCTCAGCTCCTCTAACCAGACCTCTTGGACCCTGGTCTATAGTCCTTTCCCCATACCAACTGACCAGCAGCATGCTCCTATTTGTCTGGAGCTCTTTTAAAGTGAGGTTGATATTGCATCAACATCTCTGGAGGCCACCTTGTCCTGATGACTCACACTAACTGCATTGACTAAAATCCCTAGCTCTTTCAGACAAAATGCTGCTGAGCAACATCTTCCCATCTTGTATGTGTCCAATGCTTCTGAGGACCTAATTCCTAGTCCATACATTTTTGCCCAGTTTAATTTTATTGTGCTATAATCAGAATATTGCTTTAACCTGTTAAGATCTTTTAAAAATCTTGACTTACATGTAACTTACATGTCCTCTAAGATTTTCTATTATTTTCCCCCAACCCTCAAACTAATCTTTTATCTCAAGTCTTTTAAAAATTTATTGCTCTTTTGGGTTTCTTACCTTTCCTAGTTCTCTTCCCTTTGAATTACCTTCCTTATGTCTTCTCTCGCTTGTCATTTCCATTTCCTCAATAGCAAGATGTCACCACTCTGGAGATATGTGTCTGGGTACGTGTGTAGGAAAGCATGAGGGCATACAGATATCTGCACATACGTAGGTGTGAACAAGAAGCTGCAGAGGCTTTAGTTTCTCTGTTTCTATTGCTTTGTCTGTGCTCTACCAGGATTTAAAGCCTGGATGGGGGGAAAATGGCAAGGTTGAAGGAAGAGGGGTAAGAGAAGTTGGTCCAGGATGAGTCCCAAAGGAAACAGGAAAGTTGTCCTGGGTCTGTGAGGGGCAGCAGGAAACTAGGGTGGGAGCACTAGTGTTAATGAAAACTGCAGCATAGTGAGAAGGACTGGACAAGGGCCAGGAATAGAAAGAGTTTAAAAGCCTTAAAGAGGGGCGCCTGGGTGGCGCAGTCGGTTAAGCGTCCGACTTCAGCCAGGTCACGATCTCGCGGTCCGTGAGTTCGAGCCCCGCGTCAGGCTCTGGGCGGATGGCTCAGAGCCTGGAGCCTGTTTTCGATTCTGTGTCTCCCTCTCTCTCTGCCCCTCCCCCGTTCATGCTCTGTCTCTCTCTGTCCCAAAAATAAATAAACGTTGAAAAAAAAAAATAAAAGCCTTAAAGATTGTACAAAGGGAGGAGGATTTGGTTAGGAAGTGAGGGCTTGTGGGGTCGGTACCTACTGAGAGGTTGGAGGGAGGTGGCTTGAAACTATAGGATCAAGAGAAGGCTGAGGGCTATTCGACACCCCAGAGAGGCAATAGGCATTGCTGTGAGCGTTATCTTAGAAGTTTATGACTTGTGAGCTTAGAAAATTTTATCTGGCCAAAGGAGCCTGGGACGTGGAGTCCCTGCCTAAGGACTTGGCTGTTGTCACAGCCTGGGCTCTACTAGAGGATGGGGCCTTAATATAACCCTCAGCAAAGACTCCTAGGACATAATGTGTTCCCTCAGACTAACTCTGGCACAGAACAGCCTCCCTCTCATGCTGGATTCTATTCCAACGAGGGAGTCAAAGGTAGGAGGACTGCTGCTGTCTTGGTCGTTATATGAATAAACATGGGGACTTCACTCTCTGAGATGGTCAATATGATACTCTTAGCCTCTTAACTCTGCAAATAATTAGGATCCAAAAGATATGCACACATATATGCAAATTCAATTAAGCAGGAAAATGGGTGCCAAAACAACTTTACAATATTGTAGATAAAGTGAATTAAGTTGTGGAGTAGCACCTGGGGTTTGGGGGGGGGGGGGCTCTACTGGAAAGCTAAGGGCAGCATCCCCAAACAGCTAGTGGATAGTGTGATCAAGAGTATAACAACCTGATGACTGCCATTTCCCTCTGTCCAGAAGTCAGAATAATTGTAGGTCAGCCTAAGGGAAGGGCAAGATAGGGAAGCAGCCCCATCTTCAGTGCTTTGGGTAAGACTGGGGAGCCCACCCTCAGGGCACCAGAATCCTGACTATCCACTGTGGCCCCATAGTCTCTCAAGGCCATCTTGGATCAAGGAACTACACTGGAATATGATGTCTTTGAGCCCCTCCTCCCCCTACCCCAAGTCTGAGTTGACTTGAACTTCCCTCATCTTAAGAAAATTTTACTGTTGCTCTTTTAAAAGGAAAAGGGTTTCAGGGCATACTTTAGAACTAGTTTTCCACTGGAGGTACCTAAAGATAAACCTTTTGTCCCCCTGAAGGTGACATTAGCTGGCCAAATGACAATCCCAATCAGAGTGGCCAGTGTGGAATTCCAGCTACAAGCTATCAGGCCAAGAAGTTGTTTCCCTTCTAAGTCAGTGAAATGATTAGCCACCAAAAGACAAATGGTATTTGGGGAAGCTCCCACTGATGGGCCACCACAGGCTGGGTGGAATGAGGAGGGCAGGACTCGAGGGGTGGTGCTCACCTTTGATGTAGTTGAGGATTTGCTGGACTCGGTGGGGCTCATTGCGGTCTGGCCGGCAGCTTGGCGTGATTTCCAACACATAATCAGGACCATATGCTGTGAAAAACTGTAAGGAAAAGGGAAAGGCCAAAAAACAAACTAAACCACAGAAAACCTCAAAACCAAACCACATACACACAGAACAATCAAAAGAAAGCCACCACTGTCCATTAGGCAAAGGAGGCCCAGGTGGGCCAGGCAAGATGATACAGCAGGAAGCCTTGTCCTGGTGGTACCATTCCTCTTGTTCAAAACCTCCAGTGACAGTTCACTGCTAAATTATTTAGCTTGCTGTTGAAGGTTCTCTCTGCTCAGGTCCCAGCTTCTCTCTCTAGCTTTAGCTCTCACTGCCCCCTGTTCTCTAGCCACACTGGCCTGCTCTGGGCTCTCCTAAATCACATCATGCTTTGTTCTGCCGCGCCCCCCCACCCCCCTGCTTAGGATCTTTGCCATTGATCTTTGTTAGGGCTGCAAAGGCCCTCCCTCAATTCCTGCTGCCTGTGAAAAACCTCCCTATGCTTTCAGGCACAGCTCAAATGTCACCTCCTTCACAAAGCTGTCCCTTAATTTCCACCAACCTGCAGCATGTTCTTTTGGTACCTTTCTTATGGCCCGCGTTCAACAAATACTACATGCCTACATATTATATGTGGGTCACTATGCTGGCTGCTGTTGAGACTATGAAGATGGGCAAGACCTCCTCTGGGATCCTCTAGGCGTTCATAAACCCATTCTGCATTAGATAGAGATTTTTCAGCAGTGACCTGACGTCCCTGCACTGGATTGTCAGTTCCTTGAAGGCAGGCAGCACCTATGTCTTATTCACCTCTTTGATCCTCAGACTATGGCAGCTGTCTGTTAACTTTGGTTGACTTGAAGTCCCTGACCCAGGAATGTCAAGTAAGCCTAGTTTCTCCAGTTTTTCTTTCTCTATAGTAGAGTTTATTTGTTTTTAAATTCAGGGAATCAAAAGAAAGGTTTTTGGATTCTATTTCTAGCTCACTAGATGATTCCTTGTGACCTTTGGTAAGTCACAATATCTGATTCAGCTTCTCTATTAGGGCCCGCTTGGGGAAAAACACTCCACGACAAAGGGAATCATTCAATTGGGATAAGTTTTTGAATGGGAAGTATGCAAAACTACTATTTTTGTTTAGTTTTTAACAGAAATAGTATTTGTGCATACTTTCTGGAGAGAGAGCATATGGTTCTTAACATTACGTGCTTTCAATAGTGATATTGTTAGGTGGTAAGTAAAACAGGGACATTCAAATTCCATGGAAAAAATGGTAGAGAGGGCATGAAAAAAAGGATCTGGATATATGTTATGAATTTAATGTCATTCAGAGAACCCAAGGTTATTGTCATTGCCATCAAATTATCCTTATTAAGAGTCTGGATGTATATCTGGCACCATGGGAGAAGTTGTGGAATGATCTCCAAGGGTTCTAACAGCATCTTTGTGGAATCCATGGGAGTAATTTAATTGGCAGATGGCTTTTGCACATCCATGATGGAAAACTCTATACATTGAATTAAAAGAAAAATGCCCAAGACTGCCCCAATGCTTATTATAATGCTTTTTTTTCATGGACTGACATAGAAAGGAAAGAGGGGCCTTGTTCTTTCCTGATGGAGTCATTGCTGTCTGATGTCTGAAGCCCTGTGTTCTGGAGATAGGAGAAGCCTTGAGTGGAGATCATCTTTATCAAACCCATATATGGAAGAGACAAGAGGGGTTACCTGGGAAATATATCTAGAAACTAACCACCATTATGATAAAAAAAAAACTTGAGAGGTTTGTATTTTTAGCTGATGATAGCCCCTCAGCCCAAGCTCAAGGATCTTGTGGGCTTGGCTCTGGAAGAGAAGGCTTCAAACAGGTGTTGCTCTCTCCTTAGGCGACCTCTTTTCCTCCAGAGGGTGTCAAGTAGTACACTCATTTCACAGGTATGGGAAGATGGGTTTAGAGAGAGCAATAGAAGAAAGGCAGCTGCAATGAAGTAGATACTCTGGGAGAGGACCGAAACCCCTAGCATCAAAGTGCTAAACAAATTGGAGGCAGGGTGCCTCATGGAGGTATAGGAAGAGAGAATGTTCTGCCTCCATCTAAGAAGATAACACTGCTGATCCTCTGCCAGCAAGATAGAGCTGCCAGTTTAGGATTATTTGGAACATGTTCTCATTGTGAATATCTACTATATTGTTACCCATATTCTCCTGCTTCAGTTCCGTCTTTGCCCAAGAGCACACAGTTGTAACATGGTCAGCTGGTGCCAGAACTTACTTGTAATGTAACAGAACTCAGTTTGACTGGGATTGTGTCTCTTGATGTGGCTGCATTAGCACCTGGCTTTAACTAACCCATGAATAACCTATTCTTTGCTGAAGCAAGCTGGCTATAGGTAACGACCAAGTCTGGGTTCCCAGACATCTCTCCACCTTTGCCAATGAAATATTATTCCCAGGTTCTGCTTATCTGTTAGGCTAGGGGACAGAGATGATTTAGGAATGTCCCTGTTTTATGATCCAGTTTGACATGGCAGCTGGCTGGTCCCAGCCTTGGGGAGGCACTGTTTGGGGCCAAAGGAAGTAACAGGCATTGGGAAGGCAGCAGCTGTATCTAAGGCAAACGTGTTGCTCTATTCCCCTCTCTGGCTCTCTCATGGCATTTCTCTGTTTCTGTGTTATGTTATGCATTTATTTTGGCACTTGTTAACTTTATCTACTAGACTCTGCAAAGGCAGAAACTCCTGTCACATACTCTGCAGAACTGTGGAACTGAGATCAAATCATCAAAGGTTCTTCTTAAACCTTTATTTTAAAGTTATGTTGAATGAAATTCATTCACAAAAGATTTAGCTTGCTTTTCAGTTAATTCTGTGGAATAATGCAAAGAGCCAACTCATAGCATTAACAGCTTTTCTGGACTCTTGAGGAAGCATGGTGAGGTGGAAAGAGCACTGGCTTTAGAGTCGAACAGAGATGCATGTTATATCAGGATTCAGTCATGTACCTCAGGCAAGCTGCTTAATCTCTCTTTTGTTATTGCTACCAGAAGATGATAATAAATGCAGACCTGGGTGGATTATTAGAAACCACTGAGATAGTATAAACAAAAGGGCCTAGCATAGGGCCCAGAACATAGTAGGACTTCAGTAAATGTGAATTCCCTTCTCCTGGGGCAAGAGGCCCTTGCCTAAATGGTGCCTCACCCATACCCTGGGGGATGTTGGGCCACACACTTGGGGCTGCTGTATAGAAAGAATTGTTCCTCCTGCTAGACAAAACCCAGCAGCCCCAATGTCCTCTCCACTTGCTTAAACCATTAGCTCTGCCCAGGGCCTGTGGAGAAACTGACTTCTCTCACAGTTTCCTGCCCTATGCTCCTGCCACTTGTTACTTACTGGAGAGGTGGAAAGGAAATCTGATCACATAAGGCAAAGGAGATATTGGGGTGGAGGGATTTGGCCAGCACTAGAAATAGCTCGGGGCCCCACCCAGAAACTGCCCTCTAACCCTGAAGAGGAAAGGAAATGGGCAAGCAGCAATCCTATTCCCAGACAGGTGGAGTGGGGATGAAAGAGGCCAGCTGGCCTTCCAGTCAAAACGTTGGCTTTGATCTCAGCAAAGGAAGGAGGGAGGTGCTAACCCTTCTCCACCCCTTCCCCTTTTCCCTCAGCACTCCTTTTGATTTCTGGGTTTTGGTTTATACATTTTTGAGGGGAACATAGTAGTGGGAAGGAAACAAATGGGAAATATGAAGTGGTGCTGAGGGATGGGAACTGAAGGTAATGGTGACTTTAGGGGACTTGGTCCCTTCTGGACCCAACAGTCAATGAATAAAGAAATGAAAATAGCTCAGTTCTCATTCAGGTCAGCCCAGATCAAGGCACCTTTCTTGATCATTTCTCTCCAGCTCTTGCTCATACAATGTGAACAGTATACACTTAGATATTCAGTCAAGAAGATATTCAGAAGTCTTAAATTTGGTTTTATTCCTTCATAATCCAATTTGCTCACAGGAAACCAAGCCACAAAACTGGAGCAGCCAATTTTTTTATCTGTCCCTCAATATTTATCAAGTGCTTCCTATGTGCCCAACTAGGTTAGTTCATGGGTTACAAAGACAGTAAGACATGTTTAGTAGGAAGAATTATTATAGTATAGTGTGATGAGAGGTGCAATAATAATACTAAAGATAAAAGTAATAAAACCATTTATTAAAGGCTTATTATATGTCAGGCATCTAAAGTATCTCAGCACTTTTTATGGATTGACTTAGTTCTCACAACCAACCCACATGGAGATACTATTAATTATTTCCATTTTAAGATGAAGATTTGGGCGGCACTTGGGTGGCTCAGTCAGTTGAACGTCCGACTTTAGCTCAGGTTGTGATCTCATGGTTGTTGAGTTCGAGCCCCACATCAGGCTCTCTGCTATCAGCGCAGAGCCTGCTTTGGATCCTCTGTCACCCTCTCTCTCTGCCCCTCCCACACTTGCATGTTCTCTCTCTCAAAAATAAATAAACATTAAAAAAAGTGAAGATTTGAAGTGTAGAATAGTCAGATAACTTGACAGAGGTCACACAACACATGTAGAGCTGAGATTTGAGCCCAGGTCATTCTGGAGATCAGCACTACTTACTGGAGCCTCTAAATTACCTCAGAAACATTGAAATTCCTTTGATATGGCTCAAGGGTAGGGCATAAGGAGAAATAGGACATGAGGCTGAAGAGGCAGGCATGAATTTTATAGTAGGCGCTGCCCACTCCCCACATTCAGGCATTTGGTCTTATTCCAGACTAGAAGGTTCATGAGGGCAGAACATTGTTTTGCTCTCTGCTGTATTATCAGTTCCCAAGACAGTGCTTGCACCTAGTAGGTTGGTAAGTAACTGTGGGATAAGGAAATGAAAACTTGGGGGAGCTTATAAATGAGGGAATGGACAGGTCAGCTGTGTCCTTTATTTTTCTTTTTTTAACATTTATTTATTTTTGAGAAAGAGAGAGAGAGAACATGCAAGTGGGGCAGGGGCAAAGAGAGAGGGAGACAGAGGATCCA